TCATTGCCGGAATACACCCTCAGCTGTAGGGAAATGTGTTTAAAAATCACATTCAGACTTTGCATGAGCATGTTATGCTGTTGATATGCCCAAAATATTGTTTAAACACAAATGATATAACACTGTTGAATTGACATATTGTAGTTCTGCAAGATATTTTCCTACCACTCCATGGAAATTATCACATTGCCCCATCTGTAAACAGTACACCAAATAATTCATTTCCCCTCTAGAGCGGGAATGCATCATTCCCGCTCGCTTAATCAGCTGATATCACAGTTGGTGTTTCTATACCAACCACAGCCACAGACCCGGTACTTTAACAACTGGTAAGCAAATAACTTAATCCAAAAAAAGCAAACATAACCTAAATGAAATTTTATATACAACTAAAAAGTTTATCCGTTTGTTATGATAAGTAAATTATGGTGGTAGGAAAAATCTTATGGGTATTATGTGCTCAAATAGCCATTACCGCTCTCAAAATGTATAGACACACTCAGCTAAAGCTTTGTGCGGTCATCTAGTTCTTGAACGGCAATGACGTACTTTGCGCTCTTAATACATAGATACCGAACCTATTAATAGCTAAGGTATCTAAGTATCAACTAGCTAATTCTATCGTTTTTCTTTTCATAATTGCACCACTAAAAACATTCTGTATGGTTATTTATTTGATTTTTTGTCAACTATTTATTTCAAATTTCAAATTATATTATATTAGATTTGATTAGGGTTAAGAAAATTTTTTTGTGAAAATGTAATTGATGAACTTAAGTATATTGTTTGACTTAAAAACCCTGACTTAGACATTGTTGAAAGAAAACCGCAAATAAAAAAATGGCAATGGTCACTAAAATAAAAAATAATCCACCCATAATGTAAACCATTATTTTATTTTCCAATGCACTGTTCTAATACAAAGTGCATTGTTCAGACAACTTACACTCATCTATGCTACAATTGACATTTCATTTGCAGTTTTTCATACTCCAAACAAATCAATAACCTAATAAACATTTCTTTAATTGGTGACCCCTTGGGTTTGGAAGGTTCATAAAGCTTTTTAACTTTGACACTTTTAGATTCTAGCTGTTCTTCTTTTGTGTGGATTTTTGATTGTTCAGTTCTGTTTCTAATTGTCAGCTTTTCTGTCGCATTTGTCAGTTTCTTGGTGGTCACTTCAATGGCAAGAAGTTTGATAGTTGTATTGTCAGTAGCTTGAGTTTTGTCGAAGGTAAACTCTCCATAAAGTGATTCATTGTGCTGTGGTGGAATCGTAATTCTGTGGGTAGTCAAAAGATCTGGAGGATTTTCGAGCTCCTCAAGTGGGATATCGCCTCTTTGAGAGTTAAGTTGGTTGAGAATCATCATAACGATTGTTGCTTTTAAAAGGGTTTTTGCAGACATGATTTTTAATTGTGATACGCCTGAAATTAAACCGACAGTTAATGCTCTTTCTAATAAGAGTTCTAGCTTATTTATTTACATTAAACTTGTTGACTCAGTGAAAAAATCCTATTTCAGCTGATTACTGTGAAACAATAAAAATAGTACTTTATTTACATTACCTGTCTGTTTCAATAGAGAGTGAAGTATACAATTTGAACATCAATTAAGAATGTGTCTTCTCAAACTAAAGTTTTCTTCTTTTAATTTCACTTTGAATGATGACCATTATTGTAACCATAATTTAAACAAACTTTACCACCGAACACACATATTTCCTCCCAGTATAGCTTGTCTTAACCCCCTTATAGATAGTTAAGCGGTGGGAGTAGCTATATTTTTAGTAACTGATATTTTACGGGGATAATCACAAAAATTGCAATAACATTTGCAACATGTATTTATAGCATTTTTCGTACCATCAAAAGTATATTCTACATGTTAATCAATTTTGTAAAAATTCAATTTTTTGTTATTTTACGGAAAAACAACAATTAAAAAGTGCCTGGAGATACCAGGTAGTAAACCTACAGAATTACCAAATTACGTCAAAATTAGACTAGCTCTAGACTAGAATTACTTGCTCTGTACATATTCACAACAGTGTCTCCACACGAACAAAACCAAAATCCCGCTTACTATTACTATGTTTCACTGGGAGGAAACACATTTTTTGATATTCAAAGAATCCCTGAACCATCAGATTAACTTATACATTGTACTTAACAAGACGTGTACTAGGCAAGGTAGTCTTGTTCGAGCCACCCAAAAAAGCATTGGATACTCTCTGTGGTTTCTTTGTTAAATGCCACGCTTTAAATCGTTTAAGTGTGTTTAAGTGTTAAATTATAAGAAAAATTAAACAACAGTGGGTTGTGGATTGAGTGTGTAGATTTCAGAGACACCTAGCAGTGACTAAGCAAACAGTCTCGGGATTCTTAGACTGTGTGGGATTAAAACGGGAAATTTGGCTCTTAGCATTGACCTTTTATACGCATTCTAGATTGAATCCACAGCGTTTCAGTTAGATATAAAGAGCTATTGAGACATGATACATCTTAAAGATCACTCGAGATGGAACGGGAAAATTCATGCGGGAAAGTTTGGAAATTTCCTGACGCGGTAAGCGGGATTTTTCTATGGTTGAGTGGAGAGTAGAGACTCTAATGGTGGCAAGCATTCATATTTACTCGGTTATTATCTTGAAAATAGGATTTTTATAATGTGGGATTAAAATTAGATGCGAAATGAAACGGGATTTTTGGCAGGCAGTGGGACCATCAGGCTCATGGTCTAAAAATACAGTTTTCGGAGTTATAATACCGTGTATGGAAACACAGTTCCACACACACACTCAGACATAACTTCAAAACCTCTTTTTGGGTTGCAAAAGGTTTAAAACGGATATTTCCACTGAAAACTGACTTAAACAAGTTTAATTAAAACAATTGGGTCTACTAATTCCGTCAACTAATGTATAGGGAGAGAAAGTAAAAAAATGAATGCATAATGTGATGAAAACAGTTTGAAATATTTTAGTATTTCATTTATCTATATTCATCAACTTATACTTTGTCTATTTACTGTGTGTATGTATTTAAACACGTTTTATGCTCAGTTGGTACCAATTATTTTTTTATTTACGATCATTATATAACCACATTTTCTTCACAGGTGATTTTTAATACATTAATAACTAATCCATACAATACCGCAAAATAGTACTAAAATAATGTACACAAATTTATGAGGCAAGAGTACTACAATTTAAATTTACACATCTTTCATACATTGTTTTATGTAAAATATGTCCTGACATCAAAAAAACTGTTTAAGGATAATTTGAATTTAGAGATAGATTCTGGTAGCTTGCATATCACATAGTATGTAAACCAACTTAAAATTGTAGACAAAGTTGAAAAATGTCCTTCCACATTTAATGACAATAGAACCACCCTCATAATATACATTTAAAAGGGAAGTAGATGTAAAATATTAAAAAAGTCTTACATTTCACGAGCTTAAGAAAACTTACCATAGGCTTTGCACATCCAAGACCAAAGAGTGCTTTAGAATGGCCCTCTCACAATTTATTACATAACTAATGTCACTGTTCATTTATTTGAAAGTGATTTGCTATATCATCAATAGCCTGGATATCGTCTTTCAGCAAATTAAGGCACTCATTAACTAATTCAGCAGTTTTGTAAGAATTGATGTGATACCCAAAGTGTAGTTAGGCTTTATAGCCACAAGCTAAAAGCTGTCTCCTGTTCCTTCGTCTACCTGGGATTTGCCCAAACTCTGCACCACTTCCCTTTGACCTAATTACTCACCCTTTAAACTTCCCCACTAGCTTCAGTAACTTTTTATCCGAGTCATAATATCCAAAATTTTAATATTTGAGGAGTATAAAATAAATAATATAAGATCATCGATCGTAAACAAGGACAAATTTGGTTAAGAAACAACCAGTAGAGTATAGATTTTTTCTTACCTCCATATTTATTTTCACCTCTTTAGTGTCTAAACTGTATTGTATACAAGTAAAAATATTTTTACTGCGGACAAACAATTAATTATCATTTATGCACTTTGGTAAACTATGTATTGGAAATTATTGTGTTAAATCATTTGTTTTATTGATGATTTAAAAAAAGTGGCAACTAACAAATAAACAGCAAATAAACAAAAAACGGCAATTAAACATTATTAAGAAAAAAAAGGTATTTCTATTTTCCTTATGTTAATTGTTTAGTTTTGCCAAGACCAGTAAAATGATACCAAACTCGACCATACTGTACTTCCTATTTGAACATTTTGAACTACCGGTACCTCCCACCACCACTGCTAAAGGCAAAATTTTCAAAATTAATCATCATTCTTCTAGCCCTTCATATCTAAACAGGTTGCCGCAAACCCATTTCAAACATCTCAAATAGTTAAGAAGTTAAGGGGGTGCAAGTTGATTTTCAGCCACCCTCATGGTTATTTTGATTTGATACATTTTAGGGCGCCCTTTTGTTATCACTGGTCCGATTTTGGTTTTCTTCATGTCAATTGCTTAGTTTTTTCAAGAACTGTAAAATGATACCAAACTCGACTATACTTGCCATTTGAAAATTTTGAGCTACCTCCTACCCTTGCTGAAGGGCAAAATGTTCAAAATCAACCATAATAAATTGTAGCCGCTCATTTCTAAGAAGGTTGCCGCAAACCGATTTCAAATATCTCATAAGGTTCAAAAGTTACAGGAAGCAAGTTACTTTTCAGCCACCCTGTATAATTATTTGAAGTTATGTGAATGAATATGTCTTTATAAAATCTAAGTCTAGATAATTTTCTATTAAGTAGAATATCCAGGATTTTCTATGACCAGTGTGTGGTCAAGCCAATATAAACTTTTTTTTATGTAGTAGTATATAGTAAAATAGTAAAATAAATGTAGCAAAATAGTAAATTATTGTTATTTAAATTGATAACTAATTTGTAATTTTGTTCTATAGGAAAGTCAATGAACACTGATTAAAAAAATACTTTATTAAAGTCTATATACATATACACAATTAACATATCAATAAATAAAAACATTCACTAATACTACTAATGATCCAGCCTTGTTATAATACAAAAGTGAAAAACATGAGGAATGACACTATTTATCATTCCAAATACAAGACCAAAATGTGCAATGGAAACTATGTCTGTTTATAATTTATACATTCTCATTTCGTTATTATTGTTATAATACTTATTTATTATTGAACTGTTGTTACCTTAGCCTTTGTTCTTGCAGAAAGATGTTAAAGGCTGAGGTAAAAACAGTTCAATAATAAATATTCTAGTTCTTGCCACTGGGAAATACACCAAATAATCTTTGTTATAATACTAACTAACACCCATTAAATGTATTGGGCTGACATTGTACATTTTTATATATAGTTTAACTTGGGCATAAAAAAATAGTGCATAATTTTATTTATACATTTTAGAAGTCAAATCTATTTGCTTCCATAATGATGATTTATTAAAATTGTAGGAATATAAACTGTCATAAAACTATTACGTTTAGCTCAGAAGGTTTATTTTTAACACAACAAAACGTCAATAGTCTTTAATTTTATATTACAAATATATGATGTAAAATATTAAGTAATTGTCTAATAGATGTCATATAAGCAAACTCACCAAAAGAAACAAAATTAAATAAACATGTTAATTCAGTCATAAGATCATTTTATTTTTGTACCTGGTTATTTATACTTATAACATCTATAACTCTACTAAATGTTTGATTTGTGTTATGACATGTGTTATGTTACCACAATTGTTAAGTTGGACAATTTTTATAAATTAATAAGAAAAGTTCTACCTACAAGGTTAATATTTCATATCAGATCTCATTCAAATATTTATTCTCTTCTGAGAACAAAGTAACACCCAGTTAATAACATGTATGAACATTTAATTTACTTAGGTTTTGTTTAAAGCAGCAGGTAATTTAAAATGTTGACATGAATAAAACTATACAAAAACTGTTATTTTATGTGATGATCTTCAACTAATACGATACAATAGTAATTCTGAATACCCTTTTTGTCCTGATTGCTTACCTCATTTCAAAACAACTCATTTTAAACTATCTTTTAAATGCAGTACTGGTTATTACTAAGAGTAGGGTTGTTAAAATGATAACATTTAGCCTACTGATAGAACCCGCAGAACTTGCAGGAGTTGTGAAATCTTGACTAGACATAGACTGAGAAGATTGAACAGACCCGACAGTGAAGGCCGATGTCGTTGATGGTAGAGTCGAGGGAGTTGAATGATGTTCGGTAAAAGGTTCTTTTGATGAGGAAAATATCGGTGTCGTACTCTCAGGCTCTATTGTAGGGGTGAAAAGTGGTGTTTCTGTTTCAGTCTGAGTATTTGCTACCTCAGTAGTTGATAATTGAGCAGCAACATTTTCTTGTTCGGCGACGGATGGTTGTGAAGTTTCAGTTTTCTCAGTTGAGGCAGGTTCAGTTGTAGAAATTGAGGATGACGTTGAGAGGGTAATTTTATCTGGTATTTCTGTTGTAGACAAAATTTCAGTTGATGCACTCTCTGATGAACTGAAAATTGTTGATAATGAGATATTCAGCGTTGTTGGTGTTGGTATTGTTGGCAAACCACTGGATGAAGCAAAACTCTCTGCTGTAAGTGGGTCCTCTGAAGTTTGAGAAAAGTCAGTTGATATTTCAGGTGGAAAAGTGGATTGTTCAGTTGAGGGTTGCACCGATTGATCTTCAAAAGAACTAGACTCAGTTGTAGTCTCTGTTACTGTTCTTTGATCTTCTGATGAAATCTCTGGATAATATGTTTGATTTACAGTTTCTTCTGTAGACGAGTAAGGAACTTCAGTTTGGCTTTCTTCAGATGAATATTCTGGTGAGGAATTGTAAAAAGAATTTTTTTCAGTCGATGCTTCTGATTCTCCTGAAATGTGTTCCAATGAAGATTGTGGAGCTTCAGATGAAGCCTCTGCGGATTTGTTAGAATCTCCTAAGAGTTGATTATTTAAAGATGACTCTGGTATTGTTGTGGAAATTTCTTGTGAAAGCTCAGATGACACTTTGGGAGATGCTATGGGAAGTTCAGATGGAGATTCTGAGGATGAGTGAGATTCCTCAGTTGACATAACAGGGAGTTCAGATGTATATTCCTTTGAAGGGAGAGACTCTGTGGAAGTTATTAGAGGAAGCTCAGGTGACATTCCTTTTGATATTTGAGGTTCTTCAGAAGACATTGGAGGTACTTGAGATGACAATTCTGTATTTTGTGAATCTGAAGGAGGTAGTGAATGGTTAAATGATGAAGGTGATACTTCAGGCGTATTTTCTGTTGACTCTACATCCCCTCCACCTGATGACATCTGAGGAAAAGTTACTTGTTCCGTGGGATAATCAATAGACTGAGTTGTTGTTTCTTTAGAGATTTTAGTATCCTTAGAAAACTGAGATTCAGGCCATGGTTCAGAAGATTCAGAAGTCTGAGTATAGGATTCTGTAGTGTCGCTAAATGTTTGTTCTGAGGATGAACTGGGATATTCTGAGACATTATCTGGTTCTGTATCATTTACCTCTCGTATAACACGATTTCTTTTCCCCAAAATGTCTTCTATGAGAGATAAATGTGTTGGCAAATTTGTCTCTGCAGGACGATGCAGAGGGTTGGCATCCAGTGGTCGACTCACACCTGCCAACAACATGATCAGCAGCACTCCTATCATCTTTGTGTCAATCTGAAAAATGTTCAACTTTGTTACTAAGCTAGTAGAGAATATCTTGAGAATTTTGATAGTGTTTCCACAACATTTTCATCATTTACTTTTATTGATAATTTTTCTCAATGTTTTTTTATAGTTTTACAGGATAATCATACCTAGTTCAATTGCTCATCACAAATTTCAGCTTTTAAATTTAATAGTTAAACATTTAAAACCTTTGTTAGATGTCAGATGAAGAAATATGAGTCAATTGCAATCTAAATAGACAATACTGTCATTGCTTGAATACTGTACAACAATAGGAAATAACGGACATGGTATGTACATATAGGAGAGCTAATTTGATGGTCTGCTGCAGTATTGATGGAATACCTGTTTTTCTGTTAAAGTCTTTGCTGACAATACAATACAGATTTCTGCCGACCACGCTTAAATGGCAGCAACATTTTTGTAGACTTTAGCAATGCCAAACATTGAGCTATGTGCTCAGTTAATCTGGTTTTTTCTCCCCGATTTATGATGTCTGTGACTCAGCTGATTACTGTTGATATTGTTAAAACAGGGAAAAGTGTTTTATTTTGGGGTTTTGGGAGTGGGGAAAATGTTTTCTTTACAAAGCGTATTGAAAGATAACAGTAAAAAATCATGAACACATCTATACTTTTGAGGAATATCAGGTTACTGTCATTAAATGGGGACGAGCTGTCTAGTGATAGAGCACGGGGCTTTTAGCCCGAGGTCCCAAGATCGAATCCCATCAATCTCCTATGGATTTCATCTTTGTGATAATGCTGCAACCCTCTAGGACTAGTTTGAAGAAATGTGTAAAACAGTTCCGAGCTAAAAACTAGCATCCTAGAATATGAAGCAGGGACAACAACAAAATCTGTTATTAAATGGCAAGTGGATTTGTGTCCAAAAGGCTGAATCATTCTTTTTCAATATCAGATATTTTAGACAAATCTGAAGCATTCGCCTAAAATACTTCTCAATGTCTCAATGTCTGGAGGTTTCTGGTTCGATTCTGTATCCAGATACCATTTTTTATTAGAATACCAATTAATGGTGCTTTCTAACAAAATGGTATATGGTGAAAAGACCAGGTTTTGATCACTTTTTTCACATACCAACCTTTTGGCACAAGCGGATTTAGGTTTGTTAGGAGCGTAAGGATAAGAAAATTTCTCCCGCAAGGAATGGGGAGGGGAGACAAATATCTCTCTGACCCACAAACAGCAGGCCTGCCCTTACAAACATAAAAATGCTATATGCCTAAAAAAATACACCTACAGAAATTGATTTGTATATAAATATCTAATGTTCATATTACTGAATCAATTTTATTACCTACATCAGAATTTTGGAAAATTCCCATAAAGGTGGATTGACAGATAACTAAGTGTTTTTGTTATGATGTGTTTGCCAGGAAGTTCTGGGTCCCCCTGTATACTTCTGGAAGAGTGAGAGGAAGCCATAATTAGATTGTCCATTGTTAAATAAAACCTTTGAAGTTGTTATTATTCCCAATATATTCTTTGTATTTTTTTGTTGCACATGTAGGGAAATTGTGAAATAATGTACCTGAATAGTTGAATCATCTACATTTAAAATCTTTTAACTTATAGAATTTAAAGTCACTGTCAAAGTAGATTGTCAAAACTTAGTGTTTAAGAGATGAAATTGACAGTTAAATTATAGATTTTTGTAAAACTGGATTAATGCAATACATCCGACACATTTGCGTGTATTTTTGCAATTTTAAATATGTGTTAATCTTCTAAAAGACCATCATTTGACATTTCAAATATTTGTTTCACTTCTCACAAGTTTGCTTAGCCCTTTTAATAGTTTTATTGACTAGGAGGTATATTGAAAATCACAAATCCAACCACACTTGTAAAATACATTAAAATATTTTATAGGTAAAATAACTTGTGTTTAGAAAACATATTTTGTGTTTGGAAAGGGTTTGAAAATAATAAAATGTTATGTTTATGTGGTAATCATGTAGTAAAATAAAATAAAATGTCCTTATTAATTTTCTATTGTTTTTGAGAATACAGATTTATTACTAAAACTAATCATTGACGTTTTGAACGGTAAAAAGATAATCATGGGAAGCGTAATAATAAATTGGGACATTCCACTTGTGCTCTAGAACCAATTAGTTTACCATTAAACTAAATGTCTTGTACAAGTCTACAATGATTTGTCATTATCCCAGTCTTATCAGTAAGTTCAAATAACTGCTAAAGCAAGAGATTCATGACAAAGCAAAGACTTGCAAATAAATCAGATAGCTGATAACAACCAACCAAAGGTCATGGAAGTGACCTACTGGACAAACTTCACTCTGTCAACACAGTACAATGCTTCTCCAGAATAGGATATGTAGTCCAAACTCTGCCTTTATAAACTTTACACTATAAATCATTTACCTAGGATGAAACTGAATTCAAATTTGAATTGAAATAACTTAAAGTTCAGATTAAATTTAAATTGAAGCTCCAAATCTCCTTAAAATATGTAATCATAATGTTTAAATGTATGGCATTCCCCCAATTCAATACCAAACTTACTATAGGACAATTATTCTTACCTACTGAAAAGTAAGCACCTTTATTAAGAACAAAGAACAAATGTACAAAGGGAAAAAAATTCTCACAAAGACTGTCCATCTGCTGTGTGGTGAGAGTCTTCTTTGCTCACCACTTCACGGACAAGATAACAAAATAAACAAATAATTATTTAAATAAAAATAAATATTTTTTTTGCATATCGTTGGCAAAAAAGACTAAATTGAACAGAAACAATTATTGAAATGAGTTGAACAGAGGTCTATAATATAACTAAGAATGCTTGAATGAGGGTGCCAGTACTGAAGTACTACTGTAGTTTGGACTTGTTAGCCTAATTTAGTTTTGGAATTAATTGTTATCGACTTTCATTATGTCCTGTACTGGGATCTGATGAGCTCGGCAGCATCATCGCTCTCAATTAAATTCATGATTTCATATCCATACCGATCATCTGGGACAAATTTTATATAGACGAAACTGTTCAACCGATTTTTTCCTGTCCCAAGATTTCCATACGTGATTCTCATGAGCAAGGAAAGCTTCCTACCAAGTTAGCGACCTAGTTTGATACAAAAATGCTTTCGTGTGCTTTCTGTTTCAATGGGACACCGTCCAAACCCTACACCCTCGTCCCCTCGTACTGATAAGTCACGCAAACGTCTTATCAACTGAGATGTCTCGTCGCTCCGATAAGTTGTCGTTATCTTTTGAAAATAACACGGATTACATTGAAATGAAGGTCCGTCACTCGTCCGGGGAATTCCCATTGCCACTTGAGGGATTGTTGAAAACTTCCCAAGTCAAAAATGAGACAGATTAAATTTGATTGAGGTTTTGAGGTTGGATATAACATTTAATCAAAGCCAACACGACATCAATGTGTTCCTCCAAAAGTGAACAGTTGTTCAGGGCAAGACATGGAAACATTTCCTCAACGCTATAAACGGCAACAATGTGCATAAAATGTCAATGGTTAGTTTTCTGTTGACACTGAAACTCGCTATGACGTAATTAAATGTATTCAATCACTTTTTGGCCAGATGAAAGGGTTTCCACCTCTATGAAAATACATTTAAAAACACGTTGCGAGATTTCATCCAAATTAATCCTTTTCGACGTTGTTTTGATATTTTAGATTTTACGTATATTCATACACATTTTCCTAGATTAAAATGGTATGTTGTAACTTTAGATTGTTCCAACTAGCATTTTTACACATCATCCCAATTTTCTATAAGTTATAACAAAAACTTAAACATTATTTTAATTAAAAAAACAGTTTGAGAAATTATTGGCGATTGGAATCAACAGATTTCCAGCGGACTCACAGAGGTTTAGTGTTAACACTTTCGTGGACATAGAAAGTCTTGCTCTAGAGGAATGTTGATATTTGACTCCTGTCCGTTTAAGTTGCGTAAACAAACATGAGAATACTAGAAACACGCAATGTACGTACATAATGAAGACGGAGAGCTCAACACGTAGACGTATTCTAGATGTCAATTGAACAAATATCTTATTACTGTATTTTTTGGCAAGGTTTGTTTGAAATTTTCAATTTTCGAGACTTTCTATGGTTTTTACAGATGGATATCGTCGTTTAGATTTGTCGTGAAATCGAGGTTCTTAAACCGTTGTTTGAGATATTTGAATAATTATAACATAACTGAATCAGTTTTTAGTAATGTTGTTGACTTTAATCACAGAAACCCGTGTGATTATTTTACATAGGTTGTAAAGCTAAAATAATTTTGCAACAATATAATAGTGTTTAAATTTACTCTTCAATTTTTCAAAATATGATTCGAATTTAGAAATTACGAGGAATACAAATATGTAACCTTTAGATTAAATCCCCCAAAATACCTGTAAAATCAAAATACCCGCCGAAATCCCCGGAAAATACCGTTTGGCAACACTGACTCAGACAACTGTTGTCCAAAGTGCTGAAGACATATGACTAAACTGTGCGTTGTCTGTTGTCTGCTGTCTCACGGCTACGGCTGGGGTCGGTATTGGATAATGGCAAAGTTCCTGCTATCAGCTGAGACACCATTATTGTTGCACGCCATTGGCGGATTTGAAAATTTAGAAAATCGGGAGAGAGGATCTGTATTAATTACAGTCATATTTCAGTTTTAATTAAATGAGAAATAATTCCAAAAATAATTGTTTTGTGTTCTACCCACGTGCTCGAATGTGTGTTTTAGGGGTGTTTTGTGTTACCTACTTGCTACAATCAGAATAATCGCTTTCACGTTCATCACTAATTTTTATCTCATAACCAAAGTAATTTTACCATCAAAAAAAAAATGAATATCAACAGCTGTTATAAAAATTTCAAATTGCTAAATTAAAAGAAAATATGAAATTTTTCGTTTTAAATGCAAGATATTTACTTAACATTTTCATATTTATTGCAAATATTGTGACAAG